TGTTAAATTAATATATGGATGTGCCCTGAAAAATTATCCCTGTATACAATATAGTATGATGGAAGTAGAAAAAAAAAAAAACAGCTTTCATTTAATATTGCAATAGTTAAAAAAAACACACAAGAACAATTTCTTTGTAAATAGTGAAAAAATCTATTTTATTCCAATTCCAAAAGCTGGTATTATCATTCGCTCACTGAACGAAACAGCTGTAACTAGCTACTCAATTGTAAATATGAAAATTAAAGCTATAAAAGAAACATGCTTTAAGAAGCACACAAGTCAAATTCTGACTTTGCTCATTTGTCTACTAAAACTTCTATATGAATACATTCAATACGAATCTGATCACTTCTTATAATCGAAGTTACCACTCAACCTTTTTTTTTTTTTTTTAAATTCCTCTAGAAACAACATAAGGTACTTAACAATAATTTAAAAAAAGCAAAAGAAGAACTGCTTTGTAATTCTTTCACAGTTAGGAAATTTTACCAGTCTTATTCTTAAGTTCTGTAAGTTCTATAATCATCACAACTCCCTGTTCCTTAAGAAAAAGAGAGGACATCCGTCATACAGTTCTGATGATTTCACTGTACACTCTGTGGAATCATCCTAAAGATACAACAGTTCCTAAAGGCAAAATGATGGTGGAAACAACTTACCATTGGTGAAAAGGGGTTCTGGGAGCTTTCTGAAGAAGGATTTCAGCAAACTGCTTATTACATTCAAGTCTCGCCATTTCTACACATTTAGAAGAAAGGGACAGACACGCTTTATATTTCTATAATCATAACATAACCAGGAGATCTGGGGAGTTCCAAATGGAAATGCTGTGATCAAAGACTTACATCATCATGAACATCAATGTCAGTCATTCCTTTGTTGAGTTCTTCCTGCATACTTGAGATGGCAGCATTATTTCCAGGAACCCTGTAAATACCTGTGTACTCAAGACCTCTCTCTTCAACCAGTTTGCAGCATATGTCAACAATCAGGGGAATATACTGAAGAAAAAAATATTTATATATGTTATTTAAGTAATTTATGCAAAAAGTATTTAAAAATCACAATGGAAAAAAAAAGAGCTTTTCCTACTTTATTAGTATGAGCCGCGGGACAGTCGTCAAGCCTGACTCCGAACGTTCCCATAGGAGACGGCTTCTTTTCAAACGGCTTCCACATGATCCCTGGAATGCCTTTCCTCCACGTTCCCTTGTCCTTTGGTGGGCTCGTCTCATCTTTTCGATAAAGAATGCAAGGGAATAAAAAAGAAATAAAAGAGCATTTAAGTCACACAAACTATTGTGAACAGAGTGAAGAAGATAAAATAACCTATTGCATATTTTTACCTCTTCTATTGGCCCACAATAACTCACTAACCATCTGTCTACTGTCTGAAACACCACTTTTTTTTTCTCTTCTTATGTAATTCAAAAGTATGTCTGGACATACCCAAACCACAGAGTACCACAGAGATAGGGAAGTGTGCAGGTGGATGCCATTGCAGAATTTCATCGTTCAAAGACTAAAGGTATATATACATTATATTTAAAAAAAAAAAATGCAAATCAACTTTTAAGAAAGCAAGATAAAGCCTCCCTTGAATTACATTCTGCCATGCAGAACAGCAATGAAATAGTGCAGCCACACCAAAACATTATGTTATGGAGACCTACTTAGTCTTGCAGTAATTAACAGATTTCAGTCACTCCTAAATTATCCCAAACACAACTCAGACCTTTAAAAATATTATTTACCCTGAATCAGATAAAAGTTCAGCTGCTCTATTTACCTTCACTATACGATTCCTATAACAAATTATAGTTCTCATTCATTATAAATCTCTTAATACATTACTACCTTCTTATTCAAAACAATTCTGGAAATGTTCTTTCAGTACACTTGAAATCTACTTAGCATCCTTTAAACATTGCAATTTAGTTGCATAGTAATCTGTAGCACAGCAGGAGTAAAGGAAGGTTAGTAACATAAAACAGAGTTTACACACAGCTTAAATTCAAGACTAAATTTTTCTAAAGTGGCTGTTCAGCCAGTTGTCTGAATTTGTGTGTAATACCTTTACAAACAGTCTGATCATGTGCAGCAAAAATTTACACATTATTAAAAAAAAAAAAAACAGCTTGTGACTATGTCATGGAGAGCAGTTACTGGTTAAAGTTTACAGTCCTAGCTCATCAGACTTTCAGGCTCATGTATTTTAGAGTTCAGTTCAGCAGCCAATAACTGTGAGCTAGAAAAACTCACTTCTGCCTTTTAAACACAAAGATCAAAACGTCCTTCTCAAGTTTGAAAAAGCTCCATTAGAAAATTTTGCTTTCTTAACAGCAAATTTAAAAGAATTTACCTATTTATTTCCAAGTCAGATGGAGACAACAGTATAAATTACATATAAAAATATTTCAAAACTTGTAGAAACCCTGGTTATGAGAAGCTTATTACAAGTACTCTGGTACTGTTAAACACCACACAAATCTGAAAAAAATGCCTAAACCTTCCTGAAAGATTACTAGAATAAAAAGAACTTCAGTCATCTGAGAAGACCTGAACTACGTCAAAGGTAACAACTAAGTGGAGGTAAAAAACTGAGTGATTACAGCTGCAGCTTAAAGGAATCAATCCTTCTTTGCATGAGCATATTCACAAGTTTGGAGAAGCCAGATAAGACATCTCAGTGGCCTTATGTGGGGCTCTAAGGAACTCCAGAGGTACACACAGCGAACCAACCTTTAGCGAGAACCTTTCTTTCAGATTCATCCTTGGGAGAATGGGGGCTCTGTGTCCTCTGCTCTGTTTTTGCTCCAAGCAGAGTCTGCCTGATGCTTAGACTCTGACGAGGTGTTTTGGGAGACGGCTCTGTTTTGCTGCTTGAAGAACTGAAATGAAATATTAATTCAGTAAAAGGAAGCTATGTAACAAGTGCACAAAAACTGCTGGCAGCAAATAATTTACCTACCTCATCATTGTACTGTATTCTTTAATCCTTCTGCTAATTAGATCTCTGCTAGTGACACCAGTATCCTATAAAATGAATAGAGATCGACTTAACAATCTGTTTTGAAAAAATACCAGTTAACTCTTCCCATTGACAAACAACATACCAAAAATGAACATTTCATTTCAGCTAAAATCTAATGGGCAGTATCTGGGAACGATTTAAAAACTAAAAGGAAAATTATTTTTGTGAGTAGTTACAAATTAAATGCTACTATTTAGACTCTTTTCAAAGCAATGAAGATCTGATTAAATCTTGTTATGCAGAAAGTTAGTTTAAATAGAAAATATGCAAGTCAAAAAAACAGTACTCTGAAAAATGTAATCCTATGTTCACATGGTATTTATATAACTGAGTAGCTTTATACATAGACTTGAAACAGCTTTTAATTCAACTTTGTTTTTAACCACTTGGCTAAAAATATTTATCAATCCACTTCCCTTTAACTGATTATTTCAAAACTGAGCAGTTGTGCATAACCACAGACATGGAAACATTCTTCTGTTGCTCATCATTGAAATGTGAATCCTTTGAAGATATACAGAGGCTCAAGTGTACAAGTAGTGACATATTAGACACAGTAACGTTTCCTTCCTGTAAACAGCATTCACATTTAAATCATATAAATGGGCATTCACCACAAAGTAATCCTCCTGAGTTCTATTTTTAGTAACCAAGAATCACATTGTGCCACCGTGTACTGGGTTTTGCAACCAGTCTGAAGGGGGGAGAAAAAAAAAAAAAAAAAAAAAGGAAACATTAAAAACTAGGTAGTTTTAACAAAACAATTTAGTGCCAAGTATAGTTGCAGACAAGTCAGCCAAAACATTAATTCATTTATTTTAAAAGTGTTATCTGATTATCGAGATGTCAAGCTTTCTTAAACTTCAAGTATCTATTCGGCTACCTTGCCTTTTACCTCCTTTTCTGCATATTTCAACTCATATTCCAGTACACACTTTGATCTATTGTTTAATTAAATTTTCTTTTGATGAAGTATTAATTAAAAGAAAATACAATCAGATTTTAATTAAAAGAGAGTAACAATGTTTTCTGTACTATGCATTATACAATTACCTCATCATTTAAGTTGCTGTTGTCTTGTATTGCTTTAATCCATGCTAACATATTGTCTCTGTCCTCAGCTTGAAACAGATACTCGCAGTCTGATGTGGTGAGCCTAAATACATTTTTCCTCTTGGTTTCACAGTATGAGATGTCTATCAAACAAGCATTGATGCTGATAGGTTGCTCTTCTTCAGATGGGGTCATTTGTTCCTTTTTATCCTTGTACAAATAAAGCGAATGGCCTCGAAGAACAACATACAATTGTTTCCACGGCCGAATGCTTCCACCAACTCGCTGAAAAATTACAAACCAATTTATGAGATAAGTTATTTCCTATGGTTCCTCTCAGTTTTTTACAACAGAAATACTAACCGTCTTTCCTAACTGTCCTTAAGAATAACCACTGGAAAGACTGTACAAAAGCAGGATCCACTAATAGCTCTCTGTTAAAGCAGGGAGTTGCTCCACAGCCTGCCCACCCTGAACACGCACTACATGTGTGAGGACACAGGACAGTGGTGGGAAAGAGAGAATGCAAATAACTACAGAATTTCACAGAGGTATTAGGATAAACATAGCAAATAAGTAAATGAGCGGGCTCTTGTCCAAACCTTTTCAATTTGATTTGACTCAGGCATATGCCCATACAACAGTCTAATTTCAGACCTTGTTTCTCCTTATGTCTTAGTCTGTGAATATGCAGAAGGTCAACCTGAACTGCAACACTCATCACTATGAGAGCTTTTCTCACTGTTAGCAAAGGGGAAAAAAAGACTCTGGTCATCAAGGGACTGATTCTTTCTACTTAATTAGTCCTTAGAAATAAATTTACTTTAAGGATATTTTGAAATGTAAAATTAAAGTGGTTCCAAAAACAGTCTTCAAGAAAAAGGCCGAGGAACTTGCCCAGGTCAGTCTTCTGGCAAGTAGATCTACAAATTTGTCAGTCTTACTGACAAAAAAAAACTTTTAAAAATTTATTTCCTACACTTTAGTATCTTATTCTTAATTTTTCTCCAGTTTAGTATTTATCCTGGGTGGACATTAAGAAATAGGTACCTTTCCTTTGTCTGTGACAAGCTGACGAAAATGGAGCCATCCTTCCTTGGAGGCATCACCAAAGACCTCTGAAGAAGAATCTTTTCGAGAACCAGAGTCTTCTGATGATTTTTGACTGTCTGGGACCTTATTTCAAAACAAAACAGAACATTATTACCCCCACAGCATATCTCTAAGTACATTTCTCTGTAATCTTATGTCCGAATGCTTAACTTTTCATTTTAAAAATTAATGCCTCATTCAGAGAAAATCCCCTCACAGAACCTCATTGGAAAATCTGATTACTAAAGTTTTCATAAAGTAAAACTTCTAATTGTGACTTCACATATTCCAATAAAATTTTGGGACATGGCAGAATATTAAGACTCTCATTACTAAGTTCTTGTCTTACAAAAGCACATCATAAATATGCTTTGTTTATAGGGTTGAAGCAAAGGAAAATTAAGGACTATATGGTGGACCTCGAAAACATAGGGTCATATTTACTTTTGTGATACATACGGCACCAGGTAAGGAAGGAAAAAAGAAAACAATCACACATACAAACTAAAACCAAATTAAGTCAAAATCAAGTGAAATTATTTCCAAAAATCACCTGATACACAGGACAATCAAGTCCCTTTTTGTGATTAATACAGTACTTATAAATCATACAACATGCCATAGTAATAGTTACAATCCTTAAAAATTTTTTACATATATTTACCTACCTTGATCCCCTTTAAACTAGATACATGCTTAATGGATCTGTTGAGAAAAAAAACAGATTTTAAAATAACCTTTTAAATACATCCAAAAATATCTGCAAATTAATAGATTTTTTTCCTGAACTTACGATTTTCCCTCTTCTCTATAGTCATCCAATCCTTCATCATAAGACTTTGATCTCTCAGTTTTTGTGGCAGGCTGGCTATCCAGGACACTAGGCCTTATGGATTCTACAAACAGATCAAAATTATCAAATATATATTAACCCGAATGACATTTCTGCAGTGTATTTTAAGCTATAAAAAGATCAGATTTTTCACACCTGTTCTCCACAGAAGGCATGTTATTTTTCAGAAAAAGAAAAAAGTTGTTGTATGAAGAAAACTGGAACGAGGGCTTACCGTGGTCGTGTGAAAGCTGCCGACGGAGCAGCGGGACGGGAGACGCGGGGCTGGGGGGAACGGTTGTTACAGCAGGGGCTTGCGAGGCAGATGCAGAAATAAAAGGAATGTGTGCAATATCGTGGTCAATACTAGGGCTAGTTGGCTCATCTGCAAAGGTAATACGCAACAGGTTAGCATGGTACATGTGTTAGTTAAATGCCTGAATTAAATACCTGTTGGACTTCTCTTTATTGGGATATTGGATTAATTGTCTTAAACATCAAGTTCTTCAAGCAAACATCAAGGGCCCAATTAATTCACACTGTTATAGATACTTTTTTTAAAAAACAGTAACCTGTTTCATTTTGTAAGGCTGCTAATTGCACAAAGACAAAGGTCACATCTGATTACAGATTTTGCAGTGCCTGAATGAAGCTAGAATTACTTACCAATTTCTTGTATTACGATTTTCAAGGAGACAGAGTGTTTGTATATGTGCATATGAAGAACACTTGTTATATCAGTAAGTCTAAACTCAAGAGACAGATAAGAAATATCTCCTATGATAAAACAGGCATATTTGGACTTCCAGAAACTCTTCAATTTAAAGGTTTTCAATTAATGTAGCCAAGTTACAAAACAAAGACAATCCCAAGTAAATAACATACACATTTAAAACAGGAATCTAGCATCCATCCTGACAAACCCCCAAGTACTCAAATAAGGAAGCAAGTATTCCTATTTTTAAAGACAGCACTGCTACATACCAATTATCTCTTCCACTAACTGTTCATACAAACGACTGCACACCATGCATGTCCAGCACCTCACAGTCTCAACAGTCACAAGGGTCATCATGAAAGATTCCAAAAAGCTTCAAGCATTTCTAGTTTTTAAAATTTTTCTTACAAGATGGAAGGAGCTGAAAGATTTACGGTCGCCAATTTTGAGAAAAAAGCTGACATCTTCTTGAACACACTAGTATTGGAAAAATAATTTTCCTTAACACATGGTAGAAGAAGGGGTGGAGAGAATCAAGTCACGAGCATGGGCCGAGCTGTACTGCTTTTATGAATATGTATGTATTCTAGGTGCTAAGAATTGTAATATGCAGAGCTTCTGAAAAGCCTATTGAGATCAGTGAACATTCACAGACAGAGGTTTATTCTTTGCTTTGTAGAACACAACTGCATGTGCTGCATTGTGCTTTTCAAACAGCCACTGACAGTTCTGGTAAGGGCAGAGCTCGTAGCATGAAAATTTGGCAATGCAAATTAAAAAAAAAAAATCACAGAATGGATTAAAGCATCGAAAGGTTTTACAGACAAAGCAGGGGGTTGCTACTGGAGTGGTTAACTTAATTTTAAAAAGTATCAAAAAAAAGAAACTAGCTGCCACCTAAAAATATAAAATTAAAAAAAAATGAAAAGAAACCCAAAGAATTCATAACAAAGCCTTGATACTACAGTTTATTTAAAACACTTCCAAGTTCTACTTGCATCCACAGAGATATATTAGAAGCATTAGAAGCATTTACAGGTCTCTTCCATATTCCTCAGCCAGGGGATAGGGGAAGTCTTCGTTTTACTTCCAATTTTCAAGCTACAACCGCTCACTGTTCTGTTTTCTTTCTCACTTGCTCAGCTTCCCTACAGCAAATCCTGGGAGAAGGACATTAATGTTGACTAATGAATATTTCCACTTAGTGAGCAATTTTAAGATGGTTTAATTAGTGCATAGTATGGAAACTGGAAGTTCTCAGCTTTAACTTATTTATGCTACAGACTTAATTCAGAATGTCAGGCTCCACTCCAAAAGGTTACAAAAATGCAAGCACTTAAAATAAATCTGCTTGAGCTATGAGTACAAAAGTGTTAGGCAACACACATAATTTCCCACAGCATATGCTTCTTAAATGAATGTAGTAGGCTGAGGAAGTATAAATTCTTCATAATTCTTGAAAACAGCAGTTCAACTTTTACTGCACTTCTTACTAAATTATTAAGACTTACTTTCTCTAAGTCCTAGAAGTCTCACTTATGACACTATTTTTTTTTGTCTTTTTTTCCTTGTTTAGTACAGCAAGTTTTAAAGTACATACATACAAGTATTTGCAATGGCAATTCAGTTCATCCAGCAATGCTGATGGTGTCATTTCTTTTAAAAACATGTTCAGGGCAGACCTCTAGCTGTTTATTGGTAGCTGAGAGGGATATTTTGGTATTAAAGAATGTACAGCACAAAACCATTCTGCAAGGGGTTCTCTTGTTGTATTATATATTGTTGTTGACATACCATCTTCAAAATTATTCTATTCCTAAAAATGTTGAGTATATGCCACTTCATTGGGAACCTAAGCAGAGGGGAGTGAGGAGCAGTCAGGCCAATCAGCTCCTGACAACTTGCAGAGGTACCAAGTGATGTTACTTGGTTCAGAGTGGATCTAATCCCCAAATGAATCAAAATTAAAAGTTGCTTGAGAAATACAGAGGCTTTAAAGAAATTGCCAATGTCATTGGCACACAGCACGAAAATGATTCTGTTCAATCTGTTCAAGCAATGAAGAGATGGAAAAACTTAGCTAGTGGCAAGCCTTGGCCTCCTGTAAATCCGTGCGGAACACACTGTGATGCCCAGTGTATGAATTACTGCTTATTAATCCAGAGCACTGTCAAACTCCATAGATAATGTCCAACTGAAAAGTTGCAAATATCCCCCTAATTTTAACTTTTCTCCTAAGCGCTTGGGATATTTCTCACCCTTTTCAGTTTTCTTGATTAATCAGTGTATTTGTGGTACCAAATTCTTTGCAGAGCACATGGAGGGTGTTTTCTGCCCTCCATGGAATGGAAATGATGGTGTGTGAAATGCAGCAAAGATAAGCCACACTCCCTAACGCTCTTTCAGTTAGTGATCTCAAGGGTTATTGGTATCCCCTCTACCTGCTTGTAAAAAAAGATTGAAGCTTTCAGGACTGCCCTAAGTTGCTTCAATTTGTACAAAGGATACAATCTGTTCTGTTTATTGTCTGTGGAACAATCCAAGACACAGACCATGGGAAAATGAGGCAACAAGGGTTCCAAAGAGAAAGGGGCTCTCTGGCAAAAGGCATGATGCTGCTTTTCACGCACATTTGATCTGCTAAACAAAACCAAGAAAAAGATCCAGCTGCAAGTGGACAAGCGCCAAGCAAAGGTGAACTATTTCTTCCCTCAAAATTCTGGGGGATTTCTCTCAAAGTCCAAGAGGACTTACTCCAGGATTTTCCTGAGGACTGAAATGAAGCTGGTTGACCTGTATTCCCTGGATTGTCCTCCTTATCCTTTACAAAGATGGATGCCCCATCTGCCTTTGTCCAGTTATCCGGGACCTCCTCCATGCTCATGACCTTCCAAAGGTGACAGAGAGGTGGACCCTTGTGCTGGTATTGGCCATCTCTCTTAGCACCCTCAGACACATCTTGCTGAGTCCGAGGGACTTGGACGGGCTGAGCTTCCCAGGAGATCTCTGACCAACCCCATTCACTACTGGAAGCTCCTCTCCTCCTCCAACCCTCTCTGTAAGCACAAAGATCGGGGATACCTTGTTGGTGGGTGAGCCTTACCCGCACGCATGGGCACTAAATCCCCCCGGCAGGCAGCAGGAGGCGCAAGTTTTCCGTGTTTATTTTTTCATTTCTTGCTGCCCTTGCCAGCTTCACCTCACGCTGAGCTTTGGCTTTCCTCGCACCATGGCTGCATGCCTGGGCAAGGCCTGTTCTCTTCCCCTGCAGCCTGTCCTCGCTGCCTTCCTCCGCACACGAGCTCCGCGAGGAGCTCCTGCTCTAGCCAAGCTGTTGGGCTTGAGTAACTGCGCAGGGAAAAGCTCAGCTAACTGGATCACATCATATAATCCCTGACAACGACTGCACAGACTAGCTTCAGTCCAGGGAAGCTAGTCTGCTTGGGCTCCCTTTATCATCAAGCAGTGAGAGTGGCGATTTCCCCTTGGGGAGCAGCTCCTCGGGGATTTACCCCCTCATCTGTCTACTCTGCTGATAGAAAGGGGCTGCAAAACCCACCCTCCGAAGGCCGGAGTCAACGATCAGGTGGGTGTCCCTGGGGACTGGCAGCCCTGCAAGCAGCGCCGCAAGATCCCGGGTTGCAAGAAGGAACCGCAGTATCTGGCACGCGTGTTGTGGATCACGTTACCTTCGCACCAGTAACGAGACGATTCGATTTAGACAGACAGTGTGAACATATGGCTACAAGGCCAAATTCAACAAGTCTGTAATTTAATCGAGGACAATTTATTATATAATTTAGAGATTTAAATCATAAAAATTAACAACTGAACAGAAATGCACATTTTAAATGGTTTTAAATTACCTCTGATATGAAGAACTAATTATGAAACGCCATGCACTTACGCACCCAAGAAAATCCACCTACAACTTTGCAAAGTACATACACTGAAGAGGTTAACTGTAATTTACTTGCTGGCTTTCTGAAAAGCAGTCTGAATTCCTGGATCGGGTATGTATTTAAAGATGTGCAGTACAGTACTCCATGCAATTTTGGTTACTCATCCATCTTGGGGAATTACAACCCTGAATTACTCACTCTTGGTAAATAGATTAGCCTTCTATGGAAGGCCCAAGGGAATTTACAGGTCCAAAGCACAAAGGGCTACAATAGTCATTAAAAACATTATTTTCACTCAAGAGAGGCACAGATCTAAAGGTTTCCAGATACCGGGATGGAAGTTACCTATCATTCACTACAACCTAACTCCCAACACACACACACACACACACACACACACACCGCCTCCAAAAACAAAACAAAACCAAAAAAATCTTCTATCCATTGGCTCTCATCAACACCGTTCACTTCTGTGGTACAATTTAAGAATGAATCTGAATCTTACATCACAGTTTCCTTTTCTTACAAGCAGAAAAGAAAGCAAAAAAAATCACCACACTTGTATTAAAGAGATCACAAATCTTTTATTTATTTATTTGCTTTTCCTGAAGGATATTCCAGTAATGCCAGCACACCCTGCACGAGGCAGTCCCTCTCCTCCGGCCATTCTCCGGCCGTATCCTTGGTTTATCCTGCATGCAAACACGTCCCACCACACGGCTCACAGCCCAGCCAGGCTTTGCCCTGGGGCAGTGCACAACCTTG